GGTAGTTTAAGTTCTTTTTCCCAGGAATGATTTGAGATTTTTTCAGAAGTATTTTTGCTTTGAAACGTATTTTTGTAAAGTATCTGGTGCTTAAGCCGCTAATGAGGGATGTGGAGCCTCTAGGTTTAGTTTTTTCCTCCTCTGGCTCTCAGAGCCGAAGTAGGGGATGAGCTCCAGGCTAAGAGCTGGTCTGGAGCCTGTTTGGTGCCTGGGTGCTCTCATCACCTCAGCAAACTTTTGCCTCAAAGTGAAGCAGTAGCTTCAGGGTTCAGCACTAGGCTGGTGATTAAGAGAGATTAGATTAATACTTTTATCTAAAATATTGGAGATGTGGATTCAGTTCCCTCTTTTGCCTACTAGAATTCAAATTTCCTTCCCTAACCTCTCAGTTGTATTGATATAGAAGAAAGTAATATGCAAAAAAGTTCTTTAAGACATTAGTGGTATAACATTAACATTTAAAATTTGAGAGAGGCATTTTGACAAGTAACATGCTGTGAATCAGATTTTTGTTGCTGAAGGATTGTCAGCAAGGTTTCATCTTTCCTGTGTGTATTTTGAAAAGCCAAGAGAATCAGATGTTCTTGTTTCATAAGCCTACAAAGACATGATTTTAACCTGTGCATTGAGGAAAATGAACTTTTAACTGCCCTCAGAGCATGGCCACATTATTCCCTGTGATTAACTCCAGTTGGCTTAAGAGCAGAATTTATAAGCAGAACTTCAGGGTATAGAAAAATAACAGTAGGAAATGAATATATAAGTAACAGATATCCTGTTTCCATGGAATTATGGTGAAGGAAGACAAATAAATACATTTTACATATATTATCATTGTTGCAATTCGAGGATTCTCTATGTTGTAAGACAGCAGAGATTATTGAAAATACTTCCTAGGGGTTCAGGTCTGACATCATGCATGGTATGTGTTCACTTCCATTGGCTCTAGGGAAAAAAAATAGTTCTTTTTTTGATCAGCAACTTTTGCACAATAGGAACCTGTGAAATACAAATACCGCTTAATGGGAATGTTTTTATTATATATTCGTTAAAAAGTAATGTTTCTTCCCTAGATAATATGTGCAAAGAAGTCATCGAGGACAATAGTTTGGAGAATTAGTAATTAAGTTTTTGTAGACTATAACACATATTACTCTTACAGTCCACTGAAAAGCAGCAATTCTTGTAAATGTTGATCAAGTAAAATCAGCCTAACTTTGTAATAAAGCACTACCCTGTGGTGTATATGGGAAAGGTTTAGGTCCTCTGTGCAAAGCTCTGTGCTATAAAATTGAAAAGCTGATTTAATTTACTGTAGTAAGACAGATCTTTGAACCAAGTATTTGGAATAGACTCTACCTAACGGTTTTTTGCTTGTGTTTACTGTTAATAATATATTTTTGTTATGTCTATATTGACAAAAATAGGTTAGAGATTTAGCATTAATATCCTGGAGACAACCTCAAGAGACAGCTCCTTGCACTGTGCCCAGATCATCAATAGCTTGACAGTTCATCTAAGTTCTTAAAAATCTGCATTTAAGATTTTACAACAGTTCTTACTAGGCTATTCTGGTGCTTCCGTGACCTTGAAAGGCTTTTGGTATTATGGAACCTTAGTCCTTTTTTTCCCTGCTTATTAAAATACACACAGTGTTTATAGAGGAAGAGAGGGAAGAGTTATAAAAATAAACTTATGTAGACATTATTTCAAACAAATAGTAACTTTTGGTCTAAATATTATGTTTCCCACAGTGAAGCTACAGCATCAAAGTGGCCTACAGATAGATTGAATGCAGATCTGTATGGAAATGAAAAGCATCTGGTGCCACTTTAATGTGGTCAAAAGATGGAAGCTTCGTTGTAGCTAAGTTTATATTCATGTTGTACCAATTTCCAATTTTAGTGTTAATATTTTACAATTTCGTACATGATCATGAAGCTTGTATTTTGAGCAGGTAAAAATGTAACTTCTTGTCTTGCTTTTTTCTTGATGAGTTTGTTAGCATTCTTCTTGAATTTTGGCTATGTAAACAGAAAAACACCTCTAAACAGAGACTTGAAAACCTCTTATTTTCAATTCTAGTGCAGCTTACGGACTTAGCACAAAGTCGGGTCACTTACCAACAGATGTGATTATCACAGAATACCTTACATAAAACAATGAATGGATTTCCACAATGTGAACAATAAACTCTGTGCTGGAGAAAATACTTCTGGCATGTAATAATACTTGGTATCCTTGATTTTAAATACATTTGGGTCAGGATGAAACAAAATGGGTTGGAGTCTTTTTTTTTATGTGAAATGGAAAACATAATATTGTTTAGATTGTTTCTTTAGTGAATTTGGTTGCTTTATTTTAATGTCTTTAAACTTCTGTCACCACGCATTTTGTAGGAAGGAGATTCATAGGTTTATATACACTAAGGTTTTTGTTTGTTTCAAACTTGCCACCTGTCTCAAAACGAAAGGCAAAATATTTTCTATTAGAAAATATTGTAGCAAAACATCTAAGTTAGACCCTCTCTCCAGATTTTAATCAAGGCTACATCTACCAATTCTTTTTGTGCAACAGTTCTAAGGTACAGCCACTTAGTTGCACTTCCATCCACTTACAGGTCTGAAGCATCACCTAGGTCTTCTCATCCAACCGTTCAGCTGGTGAGATCCTTTTCTCTGGCCTTGACAAACACAGTCTTGTCCTTGTCACATCCACTCAGGATTCTGCTGTAAAAGAGTGATATTTCTAGCCCAACCTTATGCTAACTTTGTAGTATCACACTTGTTTCATTTTTCAGTTGTTTTACCCCTTCTGTGTTATATCACCCAGAAGCTACTTGTCTTCCCTTTCAAGGTACTTCAGGACTCATTCCCGCTCAGTCATCATTCATTTACTATTTACTATTTCTAGCATTCTAAACATTATTCTGATACCCATTGTAATCAGTTTAACTCTGTCAGAAACTGATTTAGTCTGAGTCCCTATTAGAACATCAGTAAACTGTACAAGTAAGTCACAATTAGGAAAAAGTGCTATCATCACCTTCTCTCAGTACAGTTGTCAAAGCCCTTTGAGGTTTTGGCGGGGAGCTGCTCACTTTCTGTTATGTCTTTTTTGTGGATTTGCAGCGTGATCACAACCAAATTTGAGATGTGAACTTCGAATAGTATCAGTTTGACTGTGGTTAAATTCCTGGCCCAACAAAATAATAAGATGAATAAGCACTGTAGGGATAATATGTTACAATTTTAAAAGACGAGAAAACTTAAGTAATAGCTGCAGATGTGACAGGCTGAGGCTTTTAAGTGTGCAGTGTATACCGTGACTACCGAATCAAGTAATCATTCTTCTAAACTTTCTATTTTGTATTCTACTGTTGAAGTTAGGAATCAAAAGTTTCCTGGTTTTTGAGTACCAAGAATCAGAGAATGAATATATACTTGTAATTCATTTTCAGCAATTTACAATTTGCAACCCATTTGAAATTTATTCTTGGAATTGAATAAAGAACTTTTGGAGAAATAACCAAAGATTTACAGTTCAGAATTTGCTGTTTGAGGGATGGAAGTCAGGGAATTTTGTTGAGGTCCTTCTTTAGTAGTAAGAATACATTTGCTAACAACAGTGAATGTTTTTTAATGAGGAACTGGATTGCTACTTGAAACTTCTGCCAGACTTCTTGGAAATCTTCTATTGAGAACAACTAGTTAAAATGTCAATATGAATGATATTATTGTAGGTTCATAATTTCTTGTAGGTATCTTGCCTCCCTCTATAATTTGAGATTCAATAATGCATTTGGGCTTTACATGTCAGATGAAGTTACTTGCTTTTAAACTTAACTTTTATCTTGATGAGGATTTGTGCTATTTAGATTTTAGGACTGATCTTGCGCCCATGTCAGCTGTTGCTGGAAATGATAGAGACATTTGGAATCTGGAAGAATCAGCTTCACAAAATCATCATGACTCCTTGAAAGAGTGCTGCCAAATTTCCAAATGACTCAAGCCATATTTGAAAAATCTGTGGATCGAATTTACATTTTTACAGAATCATAGAGGGATGTACTGATAAATCAAAAGTCTCTTATCGGCTACCAAGCAAATTGCCATGCCATTGCCTAGTTTCTGTCCAGTTTCTTGGTTTTAGTGGTACAACTTGCATGTGCCAGTGCATGAAAGCAAGAAATGAAAGTAGGAACTACTATGGTATGCTTAGCATGGCAGCATAAAGAAAGTTTTTTTTTTTTTCTTTTTTTAAGGCCAATAATGAGGGGTTAAAATTACAAAGATTAGTATTAGAAGCTCCGGTCAAAGACATGATGTGGTGAAAATGCATGAGAGATCTGAATTTTTTGGAAGCTTGCAAGGTGGAAATTGAAGCATCACTTGGCATTATTCCTTCCCCACCCAAGACAAAGGGTCTATTGCAATTCTGTATCCCTGGATCAATTAAACTCCTTGTAAGCTAATTTATTCTAGACAGAGTGCATTTTTCTATTTGCATGTGTTCTGTTATTTTGCTAGTCGTATATTCTCAGTCTAGAGAATAACCTTTACAAAGGATGAATAAGAATTTCCTGCATCTTATTATCTTCAAAGTTCCACTGTTTTCTGTTTTTGAAAAGCAAAAGATCCAAGGTTTAATGTTCTCCAGGATGCTGACAAATTATGTTACAGGTCTTATCTTAGCAATTGAAGTAAATAGGGACCATAAAGGCTGCTCTTCATCTTCTGCTATTATTTCTCCTGAATTATGAAGCAACAGAAACACAAAATTAAGAATTATTTTAATTCCAGACTGCTTTAGTCTTTGTTACCTCTAACATGTGCAAACTGAGTGTATATTAAGGAGGTACATTTCTTATTGGGTGATTGAATGGAACTTCTGTTACTGTCAGTAAGTTGCTTTCCTAATTTTCTATGCATTATTCTAAAAATTAGCTTCCCAGTAACATTGTTCCATAAAATACATAGAACTTTTTATCTGTTTTATAGGGTTGTGACTCTCAAATGAGCATGTCAGAAGTGTCCTGCAGTGAAAGTACCTCCTCTTGTCAGTCTCTGGTACATGGCTCAGCTCCAGAAATCCTCATTGGTCTCCTTTATAACGCTACAACTGGAAGATTATCAGCAGAAGTGATAAAAGGCAGCCACTTCAAAAACTTGGCAGCAAACAGACCACCCAGTGAGTGAAAATCTTTTTTCATCCTAATGTTTCTGTACTGGTGGGGCTCTCGGTAGCAAGGACTTCAATCCTATCATTTAGTCTTACCCAATCAAAATGAAATAGAGCAATCATCAACTAATCTGTTTCATGTTTTATATTTCTAGTCAGTTGGGAAATAGCAAAAATCTAAAATTCAAAATATTAATTGTAAGTTGACAAGACTGTTTTAATTTTTCATGATGACTGACTAATAAATTACCTTTATCATAATGATTAATTGCTAAATTACTAATGCCTCACATCACAGGCCAAGAATAAAAAGTTAGTGTTTAAAGAGAAAGTACATGCCAGCTAATATTAATATAAACACTTTGAACAGTTATTGCTGTTCCTAAAGGGGTTGATACTGCAGTCTTTAGTTGCTTATGTGCCTCTGTATATATGGTAGTAGTATATGTAACTTGGGAATGGCAGTGAAGACAACGGAGAAACTAATTGAGAACTTTGGCATATTTACTGCGCAGAAGGAATGTTCGCCTTTCAGAAAGGACTTGAACTGTGCGTTCAAGCATTTGTTCAAAAATACATTTGTCTGAAATATTTGTGAACTTTATATACTTGTAAATTGGAGCCAGATGGAATGTCATGCACACAGAATGTTTTTACTGTCTCTAATTCTTTGATATAGCTTGAGAAGTTCAGTAATTAACTTTTTAAAAAATCTTAGTTTGTTTGTTTGTTTTAGATAATGAGTCTAATTTACGTAAATTGTAGCCAGACATACCTACCTGTTCCTCTTGATTTTGTCTGAAGGCTCAAGTTTTAGTCTCTCTTTCTGTGTCTTAATCCCCAGATTTGTATGGCACTGGCAGATTATCTGGCACTACTAGATTATATAGCAGGCTGCCAACATTTTATAAGTGGTTTGTACATCTCACTTTGTCTTCAGAGTTTAGGAAGTAAGCCAAACAACTTGAAACTGATGCTCTCCTCTTTCTTTCTTGACCCATGTTTTATTCTATTCGTTAATTACATTTGGCTCAGCCTTACTCTGCTTTGCTTTCTCTACACTTTTCACACTGACAGAGCCATACTTTAACATGGCCAGAGAAGGAAGGTGAAAGAAGAATCTCTAATACTTTTATGTAATTAGGTAGTTGCCCCAGAGTCACCCCTTTGGAGACAAAGTATAGAAATAGATGGGGAAAGCCAAGAAGGCCCAAGGACACTGGGATGGGGGAAGGAATGAATGGGAGAGAAGACCTGGAGAGAAAGGACCATGTGTTCCCTCAAAGTAAAAACAGTAGATGGCTTATGCTTATCTTTCTGGAATCTCTAGAGAAATCCAAGTTTTTCTTAATATTTAGAATATGCAAGTTAGATGGGGGTTCAGCACTTGTTTTGAAGACAGATATGTTCATTCCCTGGTATGTTAATTCCCAAAATGTGCTCTGTGGGCCCATGCTGTGTAGCTAACAGTTGTGTGTGTCACTGGGGTAAAAAATCTGTTTCAAATTGCAAGAAAACAGCATAGAACATGGCACATAGCCCTGTAATACAGTGTTCTGTTTGGAGGGAAAATCTTGTGTGTTACCTTTTGTCATCCCCTGTGAAGGATAGAGGGAAGTTTTGATATTCACAATAATAACAGTCCAGTTCTGTTTAGGCAGATGGGGGTTTAGAGTTCTGTTGTTTCTAGAAAGCTGGAAACCAATGCACTTTCTGGGTCTGGTAAGACCGTGCACAGAATATTGCGGAATCCAAATTTCTCCTGTGGGCTGTTTTGTGCCATCCCCATCCCCTCCGCCCCAGCCGTGGTAGCACCTTCTTGTAAACTCCTGGACCTAGGTGCATACCCTTGCCGTTCCCTAACTCCCTGTCAAGTACATCGTAGACACATACCAGCCTCTCTCTCTGCCATCATTTCCACAAAATGAAAACTAAGGGCCATAGGGATGATGATGAAGTGCTCTGATCCGATTTGTTGTTTGGGCCATCAGTGGTCCAAAATCCTGAGAAGTGCTGCAAAGTACATGCACAGGTCAGTTTTCATTCAGGTCTTGAGAAACTATGATAGAAATAGGAACAATTATTCCTTCTCACATGTGATCCTTTCCATAGTCTAGGGGTTTTGAACCTACGCAATGTTTGTGAAATGCTTCTGCAGCAAATACGGATTGAGTCCTACCTTTCTGCTTCTTGGTAGTGTATGCTCCTCTGCTGCATATTTATATGTTAGAGTAACTCGTGTAGCAACTGGGTACAGTCAAATAGGCCAAATCCTGCAGGCAATAACAGTTGATGTTCAAATGTGTCTTCGTTTCTCTGTGTGGCAGTTAATATTTTGTCTGAGAAAAAGATGCTTCCTGGTGTTCTTTAAAATTTTGTTGAAATGGGGTATGAGCTTTTGCACATTAAATGCACGTGTGTGTATGCATGCACACACACATTAAATCCATAAATACATGGATTTTAACAAGTGAGATCTTTACACTTTGAAAGAGACCCATAGGTGAATTTCAGATGTAAGCATCCCTCAGCTATTTTTACAGATTAGATCAGATCAGAGTCATTCTCGTGCCCAAGTCCATCACTACTCAAGAACTAAAGTATTACAATCAAATATCTGTAACTATAAAAGCTAAGGGCAAAACCAGCTTAGTTTTCAGTTCAGTGATTTTTCATTTTTTGCTTTTAATATATGAATTATAAATACTGTGTGCAGTTTTTCTTAATGTGCTGGAGTTTGCATGAAAAAGCATAAGGTTTGAGAAAAAGGATACAGTGATTTTTATCCAGTCTTCTATAACCTAATTGTTTGCATGATTCTTTCTATGTTGAGTGTGCTTTAGAACCCAGTAGCTATTAGTGCTAAGATAACCCATTATGTAAGTGGTGTAATTTTTGTTGAAGATTACACAAAAACTGCACAAAATTTTCATTTCATTAGATTTTACCCAACAATCCTTTTGTTCAATCCTTTTTCTGATCTATACTGCTAAGGTTTTGTGTTCTTCCACTCCAGTGAGTAGTATTTCCTCTTGAACTTTAACCTTTGATCCTCTCTCACCCAACTACTGACATCTGGTCATTATTTCTTTTACTGCTTTCCACCCCCTGTTGTCAGACGGACTGTTCTGTTGTCTAAAACACTTGATAGGTGGACAGGTTTATATAATCCGAGGTGAGTTCCTGCAGAAACTAATTGGATGTTGTCTTTTTCATGCAAAAGAAAACTTGCCAGCAGTAAAGCTATCCACGGCTGCCTACCATATTGGTTTATAAAAGTATATGATTATTATTTGTGGCACTCTCTAATGCAAAAGTTGCATTTATCTCTGATTATGGATGTTGGGATTTCAGTGTATCTGCAAAGTAAAAATATTCAATGTGTTTCTTTTTACATAAACTCCAGTCTTTTAATAATATTATTTATTAACACGAATATGACAGGAATAAAGAATGAAGCACCGGATTGTTTTATACAGTTTTATATTTCTTAAAATCAGTTAACATCATGAAATGCACATCCTTCTGCAGGAGCATAGCTTGGTGCTTCTAGACAAATGAAAAAAGAGCTTTAAAAATAAGGGTTTATACCCAAATACTAACGCCTAACGTGTGCTAACCACATTTACTTGCATCAACTTCTTAAATGTACTTCCTAAGAGCACTGTACAAGCTATGTTTTAAACAACCATCTTGAATTATGCAAAAACTTATTTATCTTTAAAGGTGTATTCAATGTATTCCTTCATGAATCTAGGAATTAATAGGTTTTTTGCACTGTGTAAACTTCCACCCTTGAATGTACTTTGCTACATTTTGGTCTTTAAAATAAACAAAATTGAAAAGCCCAAAGTGAAAACCACATCCATGCAGAGATTGTTCTTAAGCATTTCATTCTGGCTGTTTTGACATCATCACTGCATATCAACATTATTTTTTTTCTCTTCATTAGTTGCCTTCATTCCACTGTGTTTATTCTTATTCTCTGAAAATTCAGTGGTATGCTTTACAGTGTTGTGGCTAGTTGGAGCTTGCTAAGTGTTAATGCAATTTAAGTTTGTTTAGAACAAGTAAGGGGGGTTGATGGGAAGAGGATTATGAGGTATACCTTTAACTTAACCCATTTACATAGTACTGAATCTAGTTAATTTGTTAGTGTGTTTGTAATATTTTGCTTACTTGTCATCTTTCCATGTGTCTAAACTAAGCTGTGTTCAGTCAACCTGGTATACACCATATCCTTGTATCTTGTAAATATCTCGTTCTCAAAAACTTTTGTTCTAAGATATCTGACATTCCAAAATGTAATTTGTTTTGTAGATACATATGTTAAGTTAACACTGCTGAACTCGATGGGGCAAGAGATGTCCAAATGCAAAACTTCAATCCGCCGAGGACAGCCAAATCCAGTATACAAAGAAACCTTCGTTTTCCAAGTGGCACTATTTCAGCTTTCAGATGTGACGCTCATACTGTCTGTGTATAACAAGCGTAGCATGAAACGAAAAGAGATGATAGGGTGGATTTCCTTAGGTCTCAACAGCTCGGGAGAAGATGAACTCAATCACTGGACTGAAATGAAAGAATCTAAAGGACAGCAAGTATGCAGATGGCATACTTTACTAGAGTCGTAATGGACAGTATGAAGTGTAGTTGTGGTTTTAAGTGAGTTTGGTCCCTCAAGAAGATGATCGTCCCTGGTCACAATCAACAGATTTGTTGTGGAAGTAAAAAATGAAAAATGCGGTCAACATTCCATCGTAAAGAATGCACAACATGCAAAATGGCGGGATTTAATATATAATCATCACTTAGTGTAAGACACTTCATTGGTGTCAGAGAAGCCTTGCTGTACACAGATACGTTAGCGGTCCCTCCCCCATCGACCTGATGCTGTATTTGTTTGGGTTTGTTTTGTGGTTTTCAATTCAGAAACATTTTATGTAAGGTTCTCCAAATCAATCTAAGCTCCTCCTTGTGTACTTTTTGTATTGTTCTAATACTGTAGCTTCTGACCTGCCTGCATTCAGATTAAAGGTCAATAATTTGCACTTTGAGAAAACATTAATGATCTGAAGAGCAAAGGAAAAAAAAACCCCACCAGTGGAGAACACTTCGTAATATAGCAAATATGAATATACTGTTGTTTTACGCTGAGTTTCTTTCCAGGAGCTTAGTACAAGTAAGTTTTCATTTTTTGATATGCAATTGGTTTGAAAAATGCTAGCATTTAGGCATCAGGTGAACTTTGACATCAAACTAATGTTTCTTCAATCTGTGACAGGAACGAGCTCTATATATGGCATAAATTGGGTTTTTCCCTCTTGCCTGTACTTCTGCCTAATCCAAAGAGACCAGATCATCAGTTTGGTCCCTTCCAAATCTCCTTAGACAGGTTGTACTGTAAAATTATGTAACTTTCTGTTGAAAGCACTTCCTGTATTCATGTATTCCAATGTAGGAAGCTCGTAGAGCACGACTTTACTAAAATATATTTTCATTAAACAAATTGATACAGATTTCTTTAAAATGTCAGCAGTTAGAAGTTAGGTTGAAAGATTGTGAAGGAAGTGGCAGTAGTTGAACTACTGTGAATGAATGCAAAATACTATGGCTTTGGTTGAAGTAGGTATCCGTTTGAGTCTCCTCTGAGCTGTTTTAGGGATTACCATATGCTGTTTGCTGGAAGTAGAGAGCAGACTAGGAGTTTTTACCTTTCTTCTTGGAGAAGAGAACATCAGTACGTTATTTTTCTAGTGATTTGCCAGCAATTGAATGAATGTTCACACCCAAAATCTAAGTTTGCTTTGCTTATGTTCAGGTTGGGAAACACAGCTTTCTAACACCACAATTGAGAAGCCGCAGTATCACAGGAAAGTTTGCTATCAGATAAACACTCACAGCTTCCACCAAAATGAGGAAAATATCAGTGCTTCCGAGATTCCTGTTTGTCCCAAATACTTTAACTGGAATCACACTAATTTACTGACTGCTGAATCTAATTCATATTACTGAAATCGTGGATTATTGAGTAAACATATGATAAAGCTTCCCAATTCAAATATTCTTTTTTGCCTGTAATTCTAAGTTTCATTTACTTTTAATTGTTGCTGTGTGGAAACCAAGCAATTTTTTTTCTTATAAATGATGGTGACATCTTACTAATATGGGACCTCACTGACTGTTGTAGCACTTGGGTAGAAGAGTGAAGTTCTGGATTTTGTTGAGAGAATTAGTCGTAGCCTAGAGTGTTCTCATTAGGACAGATGTTTTTCTCTTGAATTTCTTTATAATACTTTTGAACAGTCCTGGCTTTAGGGTATACAGACGGTCAAGTACAGTGAGATTGGAGACAGTGAGTGTGCTATAATAAAGATATTTCACCTGGTTCTCAAATTCTCGCACTACTTAATAATTTCATTAAGTCCTTTTTAAAGGATATTGTAATTCTACTTCTTGGTTTATTTGGTGCCTTTTGAGGGGTTTATTTGCAGAGCCAGGCTTCCAGTTTTTATTGATTTAAAGATTTAAAACATTATTACAGGCCTTTTTTTTTCTGGTATTGTGCTGCTGCTTCATTTACAGAAGCTTTATTTACTAAATACAAATAATGCAAAAACTTTCTTTTAAACAGGAATGGTCTTGCAGTAATACAATACAAGTTGTCTCTTTCCATCCTTTTTGTTGCTCAGTTTGTAAAATGTAATGTTGAGTGTAGAATTTAATAAAAAATCAACATTAATTTTATATGCATAAGGAAAATGCTCAGATTTTCCTAATCCTTTCAGCTTTCCATATAATAGAAACACTGACTTAGAAGCTGTTCAAAAGTAACTTTTCAATGGATGTGGAAGTGTTCTTACTCATTCTGTTTGTGGATATTTGGATGCTCTTTCCTAAAGCTGAAAGTTGTCTCTTGATGGTTGTCTCTTTGTACAGGTTTTGCTTTATAAAATAATGTACAGTATTTAACAGCAAGAACTGAGCAGATTAATTCCAGTGGAGAATATACTTAACATCATCATTGAACAGATGAAGAAGTCAGTTTGGAAGATGCAGCAAATAACCTCTTACAGAACCAAACTAAACTGTGTCATGACTTGGGTTTCTGTTTGTAGGTTGCGTTGCTTCAGTTTTACATCTAACCATTTGGATTTCTAAGACACTGAAATCTTAATTTAGGCACAGCAGAGATTTATAGTACGTGTTGGACACGTTTGGGAAGAGGAATCTTTTTCTAGATCATGTGACTTTTCTCAAGGTATCCAGGTCCAGTCTGTGCTTTACAGAAGGACGTTTGGCTCACTTGGAGTTATACTGTACAAAGGCTGGGAACAGAATGTGTAACGAATGGAAATAAGTGTTTAATTTTGAGGCAATAGGATACAGATTTGCCATGCAAAACCAGTCACACCAATAATGGGCTTTGCCCTGGGATTTTTATGAATTAGTTACAGTATCAATAGCTGTCATGTTGTTTTTTCTTCCTAGATCCCATTTTTATGATTTGCTCATAATTTTGTTTTGCTTACTGGTTTATGCAAACCTGTACTTTTGTATTTGAAATCTGCCTTTAGATACTGGCTTTTTTAAACACTGCATAAGGGCTTATACATACAGTGTGGGTTTGTGCATTCAGTTAGGTCTTAAGCATGGAACAGAATTTCTAAAGAACAAAGTGTCAGAAACAAATGAGAAGCATTTGTGTTTTCCTCAGAGTTGTCTGTGCTTTTTTTTCATAGCTTTTTGTTGTTCACCTTTGTTCAAAAGTACAGTAAGTACTTGGAAGAGTTTATCAAATTAATTACTTTCCTGTGTGCCCGTATACCATGTAGAGATTACAATTCTTGAACTGAATCTGTTTCGTGTCAGTGTAGCCTTAAATAATTATAGAACAGTGACGTTCTTACAGATTCTGTTCTTGAAAACATTGCATCCTTTCTGCATATGATCTATTTGGTTTAATGTTTAGAACATTTCACATGGGTCATCTTAAAGTGTTATAAATATGAAAAAGTTAGTTCCTTTCTGTGGTAAGGGCAAGATTGTGAAGGGCAGTACAGGCAAGCATGAAATCACTGCGCAGAAGGATGAGAGGTCGTACAGCGTCTGCAGGACATCGCTATCTCCCGCATACGTGGAGGCAAGGAGTCAGCAGAGCCATGCTTCTGTTCCCTGCTCAGCTGGGCAGCTGAGGGAAGAAGCATGGCACTGGTAAGATTCAAAGCGTCGTCCCCATCGTGCTGCCTCACACTCAGGACTTAAGACATCCACGTTGTAACCACACTGTGAAGTCTGACTGCAAAGGCAGAAGTTAGGCAAGGTGTAAGTTCTGCTACTGGAGAAATATAACATAATTTCTCAATCCAATTGAAATCCTGTAACCTCATTAATAATTAGATTACAAAATATGGTGAGCCCTTGCAATGAATGTATGTGCTCCTCCTGGAGCTGAACAATGTTTATCAATTAAGAGAACACTTGAGCTGAAACCAGATTTTATGGCCTTTACTGTCGGAGATGTTTTCACCTGTAAATTTTTGCAGCCATTCCTGATGGCAGATGCAGTGCTAGCATCAGTACCTTCCCATTTTTCACACCTTTGGAGCAATTTTTTTTGTTGTCTAAAGTTCATGTTTGTGGTACTGATTTATTCTCTTTTCTCCCTAATGACTTGCTCCTGCCAACTCCCCAGCACCTCAAGAAGCTGTCTCTGGCAGTCACTGGAACTTAGAAGTCAAGGTACTGGTGCAAAATTTCTGTGACCTATCCAACTCCCTAAGCTTTCTGAAATGCAAACCATCACTTTTAATATAGTGAAGCAGAAGAAGAAAATTTTTTTCTTTGAAGGAGATATGTTAATACAGGAATTGAATACAGATCACTCTTACACATACAAGTTCTAACAAAAAGTCTGCAGTAAAATCAGAGAATGAGGTTTGAGGGGAAGCCTTTTGGCCTGAGCTTTTCCAACGTGAAATTAACAGCAGAATGCCCTTTCATTTAACTGAGAGTTGTATTGAGCCCTTTACTTATTCATCACACTTCTCTGGAAGACAAAAAGCTGTCCTGTTTAAAGCAGTATTTAAAATTATGCCTTGTCACTTTTAAGGCAAACTGACTTCCTTCTGAAGCTGAATTGTCAGTAACAGCTAAACATCCATTTAATTCTCCTGCTGGTGTGCATGCCTGCCTGCCATTAACAGTAACGAGAGGAGCCCATGGGCATCAACAGGAGAGTAGACCTGACCCTGAAAGTGTGAAGTGCAATAGGAGCAGTAGGTTAGAGCAGTGGTACAGCATGGCACCTGCAACACAGTCAAATGGGATTTCCGTTATGAATGGAGGTAAAAAACCCAAATATCCGAGTACTGTCACAAACTTGCTATTTAATCATTATGTCTTATTTTTGTTTCTTTTCCTCAGCTTCTGAAATACTTTTAAAACTTAATATTAAAAATGTTAAAGCAATCCCCAAACATCATGATCATTTTAACTGGAACATTCAGCAGTTTATTGTTAGAACAAGCCATCAATAACATTCTGTGTTTTTGGTCTATTTAACTCTACTGCCAGATTTTGTGGTGCATCACAGCTGGATTTCAGACTACTTGTTCTGATGGTGGTTTTTGAGGGGAAACTCACAGGAGCATTTGCTTGTCAGTGAATCAACGCCTGATGAAGAAATGTCATCTGAGAGCAAGAGCATTAAAGTAAGAGGTGGCTTCATACAGTGGCAGCGACAGTGACTCAGCTTCCGCTCTTGGAGCCTTGTGGCCCTCGGAGAGCCCTGCTCAGAGAAGCCATGACATGGGAATTCTGATAGGTTCATTCTGTGGCTTCTAACCTAGTGTATTTTACAGAGGCAAGCAGGGTAGATGGTGTTTATTTGCCTAAGGCGAATGGGCTGAGTACCAAGTGGCCTACAGTGACATGGATTAGTTTAGCCTTAAGAACTTATCACTGCCCCTCCTTAAGTTCATGCAGGGTTTCTTCCTTTCTGCAGACTATGCAGAAATCTTACGCGCCCAATGAATCTGCTTATATTATGCCTACGTGAATACGGCACAATTATATTAATGCTAGCAA